GAAAGGAACAGCCGCTGTTTTGACGACAAGGCTAGAACAAAAGAGCAGTTCAGAGAATTATTTTATCTAACCTTGTTTAGTTGGTTTAATACTGTAGCTCCTAATCATGTAGATGGGTTGCCCGATTTCATGTCGTTTATGTGTTGTCTAAACTGATAATACATTCCCCATGTATTATCTTTTGATGAATAAAATTTTCAGATTACTTATTAAAAAAAAAAAGATGGTTAAGATTAAGTTCGACATTAGTGATAAGCTTTTTGCATGTCTTAGATAGTTTTAGTTTTGAGTAGTGAAAAGCTGGTGAAGACTAAGCTTGACCTAAGCATTAAAAACTTGTTTGGTAGGGATTAAAATTTAGATTTTAATTTAAGTCAAAGTCAACAATTAATTTCAACCATATTTTATGGGACCCACACTTTTCAACCACACATTTCGTCAACTTTATCAAAATCTACTGAAAAACTGATTTTAGTCCCTACCAGACATTGGCTAAATTGGAGGACCTAGCCTCTTGGGTTATTGAGGAGTTAGTGAAGACCAAATATGCCCCCCCTAAAATTAGGTTTTTTTTTTTAATCATTGAGAACTTTTAGCTTCGGTCTTTATGATCTAGAAAAATCAGACGTTGATCTTGCGTGAAGTTGGAACTCCTATTTACTTGGGAGTCCTCTTGTGTGTGGAGCTTTGCTTGAGAGAGCACAGTTGACGAATTATCCAAATTCTATAGATCTGGACGTGCATAATGCCCTTTATATTTTTGAGAGTGATGCTACTATATTCGGGTTTCTAACTTGTATGCATGGATTTGATGCTATTTTCCTAGTCAACTGAATTTTCTATGGGATTATAGCACGTGTCTTCTATTAACTTGCATGGTTCATACTCCTTGCCTGAACTATAGGCATACTGTGCTATCCCTTGACCACCCAGTCGATCCAATTCCCGGATGCAATGTGGCTGCCCATTACAAGCACCTTGGAGGCTCCAAGCTGAAAGGAATTGGGTTGAACAACAGACTCATTTATTGAATCTCCTGCTCCCACAAACCAAGATACATTGTTAACGAATGCACATCTGCTACATTAATTTGGGAAAGATCCTGAAACAATTGGTGCTGCTGATGGCCATGCTGGTGCGGTTAAGAATTACTTTAACAAGTTTCCTTCTCGCAATTCGTTGTGAAACCACCACTTTAAAATCATTCTGCTACAAAATGCACCTAGTGAAGCAAGGACTTGGACATTGGATACTAACACACTGCCACGTGATTTTTCAAAAAAAGTAGGACATAAACACACGAGGAACATGTCAATTAAAATAATATAAAACAAAAGGATTGAAAAATGTGGACACTTTCCTATGTATCTTGTTTGGTGCGTTTGGAGATGCATCTTATTGCTCTCTACATTTTACTTGAGTTCATATTTTAGAACTTATATGACTAATAAATCTTGATCATACTCTTTAACATGAATTTTTTAGTAATTGATGATCTATGATTGCCAAGTTTGCGAGGGGAAACACTAATGATGATAGATAAATTTTGTGTCATTTAGTGGATTCTATAGAAATTATATAGGGCGGTGGCATTCTTAAGATTTAAGTTAATTAAACCTTCACGTGTTACTTGTAATTTCTTGTGGAGCAAATGCAAGGATTAATCCGGATTGGTTTTTGTCTTACCTCTTTGTTGGCTTTGTTAACTTATTTTTCATGTTAAATGTTTGTGCTAATTTTTTTGGTCATAATTATTTAAAAACAAAAAAAAATACCCAAATAATTTTGATGACCTTAGATCAACGTTGGCCTGTCAGCTATGAAAAAACATGCAAGTTATCTATTCAGTTATTTGGAATGATAGGCAAGCTATTGAGTTGGCGCACACGATCTGGGTTGAGATGAACTATAGGATGCTGTTACTGTTCTTTCGTCTAGTAGGTTGCTATGTTAATGTACAGTATATTGGGCAAAAGTATCCACTGTACTATGGCCTACGGGTACCACTTTTGATACAGGTGATATTATGTACTAGAATCTACTGGGCACAATAGGCAAGACACTAGGATGAGGACACAAATTTAGTGTGATAGGCTATTATCAAGTGGAACAGGGATATTTACTGTCGCGGTCTCCGAATTTTCAAAAATAGGTAACTCGTATTCCTATACCTATTCCTACATGTCACCGTCACCCTATCCCCAATTGCGAGCACCTTTTGCCATTGTCACCCAGTTGGATGGTCGACATGTTATTTGGGGAGCCGCCTTCCTCGATGGATCTACCAATCCTTCGTATTGAGCTTGCTAAGCAAAAATCTTAGGTTAATCAGTAAGCCACGGAGCTGCCAAATAGAATGCAAAAAGCCCTCAAAATTCGTGTACTTCAGTAACTAAACTTTTTCAGATTTGTCATGCGCTCTAGACGTGCTCCAATGCAACAAATAGTGACCTTATCACAGAACCTGCCTTGGGAAAAATAAAAAATCACATGCATGGGAGCTTGTCCAGCCCAGTGATGATATTGAAAGCATAGCCATGGTACAAATGTTAAAGCATGTATGCATAGAGTAGCAAACCCACGATATTATACCAAGATGGTAGCTTTAATGAGTTTTGCTACACAAACATAATGCTTGACATAAGTGATGATACAACACATACACATGGAGGAGGTCGGGATTATTTAATTCAGGTCGGAACTCACATGCAATGTGAGAGGTCGGTCAACTCTTATGTCAAGTATTATGTTCATTTAGCTTAATAAGCTTTGCACAAAAATATAGGTCAACCAAGTGGTGTTTTCCCCCTTTTTATAGTTTTTTAGTCTTTTTCTTTTTCCATTTTCTTTGTTCCTATTGAACTTTTATGAGCAAAAAAGATGGTTTAACGAAAATAACCCTCAAATAAGTGTTCACATGCAAATTATATTACTGTTTACAGACCAACATGAATGGGAAATGGAAGTTTTCGAAACTAAGGCTAGGAAAAATCGATGGGGACCATTGGATTGGAATTCCCTAGTGCCAAGCTACGGGGTTGTTTGGTAGGACTTTTGAAAAGTCAGAAGTTGTTTTTTGGCATATTTGGATAATTTTTTAAAGTATTTTGTCCGGCTAAAAAAAATTTAGAGGAAGCTGATGTAATATAGTTTCCTTATAAAACTCTTCTATAAAAAGTAGAAGCAAATGTCCAACCAAATAAGCTCGTAAGGTCATAAGAAAGGGGATCTTGCCCCCCTTAGAAGCTGAGATACTCTGTTTTCAGCTCCATGTTAAATCATTTTATTTCTAGTAATTATATATAAAAGCATCAAATAGGAGTATATTTATATTAATTTTATGACTACATAACTTCTTTCCTCCAGGAAAGTCCAATTAATTAGAACTAATTATGCAACCAAATCAATAAAGAAGTAAAACTGAACCATTCAACTCTGCAGGCAAGTAGTAGTGGAAGTTGACGTGCAATCAGATGACAGGGTGAAACAATTTTATTTTGCTTGGCCTTCAAATGATCACCCCGAAACTTCTAGTGGGAGAGTTCGACAGATATAATTCAGTCTGTAATTTCTTCTTGTTGAAAGGGTCACGGGTCATTGGAGTTGTCAATCTCCAGTAAAGATCACTATGTAAACCGAAATTTTATTGCTGGCTTAATTCCATGGGACATATCGATTATGTGAGTTTGTTTGCTTCTTTGAAAATTTTTTTATTTGATTTTGCATCATAGGACAATAATATTCCTGCCATCGACTGGTGAAAGACTGATCCGTTAGGAACCATTTGTTATAAAGAAATGGGCAAAATAGATTTTTAGATGAACAAACTGAATAATGATAGAAGAGGGCGTGTCTTACTACAAATATATGTAGTACAATTCAATATGGTACATGACATTACTTGTTCACAAAATTCTTCTATGGCTGATGAACCTTGCTTACCTGTTTAATCGATTACTAAGAGTGGAATATCATCACGATTAGCTCTAAAGTGATTACAATTACATAAAGTAAGTACATGATTCACGAAACACAAAATACCTGAAAAATAAAGAAAAACGAGATATAGTACTATTTTCTGATTGTATTTTTTAAATTGAAGTTTGTATAAATGAATAACTAAAAGTTATGTAGTAGTCTACTGTAAGAACCAAGCCAATGAAGGTTTTCTAAGTAGGAGAAACTACTTATTTCACTTCTGGAAAACCAGGTCCCCGGGGGGTGGGGGGGTGTTTATATCAGAAATGATATAGCAGCACTTTGTAGCTGCTGTTGGATGAGTTCTATCATAGGACGAAAAGTGATTTTCTAGCTGTTGCACCTAATATTGGTTGCTGCACTGTTCCTTGTCATGTTAACTTGTGCAACTATTCAGATAAGTTTGTGCATTATTCTGCACAGTATTATAGATATTTCTTGAATCTTTAGTGCCTTAGGTTTCCTGATCTTATGTGTTTATTTAGTAAAATCCTCCTAGCATGTTAGCTTTACAAGTAGATCTGTTTCTAATGAAGCTCATTTCTTTTTGGTTTTGGGTTTTTTTTTACTCATTTTAATAGTTTATGTCAATTTGCAGCTGCTTTGAGTGGCCGACTAGTGATTGCAGAAGCTCTTGGTAAAGGGAAAAGCTCAGTAAAATCGACTAAAACGAAGGAGCAAGTTGAGAAGGAAAGATACCTATTAAAAACTAGAGATGAAAGAACTGAGTTGAAGACCAGCGAATCAAGCTCTGGGCAAGCAGATTCCCCTAGTCAGCCTCTTATGGTAGATAGATTGGGCATTTCTGGTAAAGTTGTTTATTCTGGCAAATCAGAGCATAGCAGTCAGACTCCAGGGCACAGTATTTCTGAAGGCCGTGAGCTGCCTACTAGTCATCAGGCTTCTGCTAAAGATTTGGGCAAAGAGAAACTTAAGGATGATTGTAGCGGTGAGCATATCTCCATCTTACTTTAATTTTTACTTTTTCTTTGCTCATCTTACTATATTACTAAACCAAATCTCATTCTGAAGGTTCCACGGAGTTTATTCATGGTGGCAAAAAGAAAGCTAAGGTACACAGGCGTCCTTCTGGAGATTTGAACACTGAAAATTCAGTCCCAGTGGAGAAGAAGAGGAAGAAGAAAATAAAGCATGAAATAGGTACTGAAACAAGCACTGACCGTGTGCAGATACCTGCAGCTGCCAGTTATGGTGGCGTGGCAGTGAATAACAGTTCAGGAACATCAGTCCAAGTTCTGTTTGGTGAAGATTATCGACTCGAGAATCAGAGCAGAAATGTAGTTGGCTCTTCACAGTGTCCTACAATGGAAACAATGAAAGCAGTTGGGATTGGGGATGCTGTAGAGCTTGAACTTCCAAGATTACTGAGAGATTTGCAAGTTTCTGCTCTCAATCCCTTCCATGGGAGTGTTCCAGCTATTGTCCAGAAAGTTTTATTGAAATTCCGGTCCCTTGTTTATCATAAGAGCTTGCCCTTGATGGCGCCAGCTGAAAATGAGTCCAAAGAAGCTCGTATTGGTAAATTAACTGCTGTGAGAGCTTCAGCTAGTCCTGATGAGACTATCAAAAGAATGCCAATTGGGAAGCCTACGAATCCTCCGATCAGGCCTGAAGATCAAGAAGAAGGTGGGCAGAAACGTGGCGCATCTGATCGATTGAAGGAAATTGCTGCAAATAAGAGGAAGAAGATCATTGACTTGAAATCAATGGCTATGGAAAAGAAGGCTGTTCGTAAGGTTACTGAGATCCCACGGGATGGAAAAGAATCTGTTGTAAAAAGCGTGCCTCTAGTGCCATCAAAAGCAAATAAATTGGAATCGAAAAAGAGGACAGAGAAGCGAATCACAGCACGTGAACCGACCATGCTCGTTATGAAATTTCCACCAGGTGGAGCACTTCCTTCTATTTCGGAGCTGAAAGCGAAGTTTGCCCGTTTTGGGCCTTTGGAACATTCAGCCACTCGAGTTTTTTGGACAACATTGACATGTCGTCTTGTTTACCATTACAAATTTCATGCTGAAGCTGCTTACAAGTTTGCGGTTGGTAGTAACAATCTTTTTGGGAACCCCAATGTGAGATGTCACCTCCGTGAACTGGGAGTCGAGGCACCACAAGCTGAATCAGTTAAGGTTCAGAGGGCCGAAGAATCTGTTGGGGCCTTGCAACTGAAAGATAATGCTGTAGTAGAACTTTCTTCGCAGCCACCTCAACATCAAGTCCAGTTAAAATCTTGCCTCAAAAAGCCTTCTGGTGATGAAGGTGGGAATAGTGCTAATAGGAGTACTGCGTCTGTCAAATCTGTGTTGGGCGGTGAAGAAAGTAGTCGGGTTGAGCAATTGTCGAGTAACAACATTCCTACACATTCTCTCGATCTTAATAGCAAGAATTTACCAGAGGCTTTGCCTCATTCCAGCGTTCCTTTGCGTTCTAACGAGTTTCAAAATTTGCCGTTACCTGATCAAATGCATAGAACAACTAACAAAGACATCGCTCAACCAATGCTGAATCTATTAACGAGGTGCAATGATGTGGTTAACAATTTGACTGGCGCATTAGGCTACGTGCCTTACCATTCTCTATAAACTCTGGGCCTGGGGACTGGGCAATGTTACGTTTTCTGTAAACTTGGCTGAGGCAATGTTAAAATCTGAAGGCATTGAACAAGAGCCGGCCTTGCTAAATTCTATCATCATTTATGGTGGGTCGAGCGAGATTTATTAGGAGGAGCCTGGAAACATGTCTCACATTTCTGTCTTTGAGGGACGGAGACATGCGAAGAATTGAGGACGATAGATCTCAGCTCGTGATTGTGTTGTCATATTGAAATAGTACCGATAAATGTAGTCATAAATAGTTTGTCTGTTTTGACGACTTTTAATTTGTAGAAGTTTTCTTTGTTCTTTTTATAGTTATTATTATTGTTATTTTATTTTTATTTTTACGTAAATTTTTAGTTTTCTTGGAATGTCTATTGTCTAGACTAAAATTTTGGTGTATTGAATTTGGTTCTATTTCTTTTTCGAGGAGAGATATCAAACAACTTTAATTTATTTGTGGTGGACTACAAGGAAAATGGAACTAATAATATCATAATTTTCAATATAATCGAAATTTGGTGCTTGTTTGGTAGTAATTTTTGGGAGAATAATTGATTTTGAATGGTGATATGATGGGAANAAGAATTGATTTGAATAGTGATGTTATGGGAAATGTGTGGTTGAAAAAGAAGAAAAAATTATTGATGTGATGGAAAATATTATTTTATTGAAGAATGTGTGGTTGAAAATGAGAATTGATTTTGAGAATCAGAAACAGACAACCCCTTGATACCATAGTGAACGCCATATGAATTTCTAAGCTTATCAATCTATCAACTATCAAGGCAAATTTGCAAATCTCATTCTCAACCTTTGCGAAATATAACAATTCAGTTCTCAAGCCTTTTTAGCAATATTCGTTCCCATTCTTTTCATTATGTAGCAAAACTCGTCTTTTCCTTTATTTTGCCCATTAAATTACGGATTTATCACTCTCTTCAAATAAATAAGCATAAAAAATCTATAACACAATAAAAAATTCGCCCTTTCGAAGCTGTCCAACTTTACGAAATAAGATGAAAAATCCCATAGAGGACATGGTGGAGCCATTGCAACTTACTCAAATATAGTCTTAAAATTGTTTGTGAAGATACTTCATTGCAATGACTTGAAAGTTGAAATACAATAATCAAACATTTTAAAGCATGCACGTGATGACACTCACGTCAAGGCTATATTTGCCCCTTACCAAAAGTGCACAAGGATCCAAATAAGTCTCCAAGATATAATGAATTTTAATGAATTATTTGTTTATGTACAAATCTAAACACCGAGAACTTGATATACTAATACAAGAGGCTTTATATTCAATTTCTGCAGTATAACAGAATATAAGGCTTGAATTTTATATGCAAAAGAATGATAAGTATGCAAGAAAAATATAGAAGTATGTCTATTACTTCTCACATTTTCACATGTACAATCAAAGAAAACTTGTTACACCCTTTCCCAAATATTAGAACCTACATAGGTGTCTCTTAGATTTGAATTATACTAAAAAAAACTGAAAAAAACCGTATTACAACCATTAAAATCAGTTAAGGAATGAACATGGCCCATAGAAGCCTTTCGGTGGCGCCCGTGTACTGCCAAGTAAAACGATGCCTAGATGGCAGCGCATATGTGCTGCCATGCACTAAGGGTTCAACACCTGCGCTGGCTTGCTACTAAAACACCATATTTCAAAATTCCGTCCATGATTCCAGCTCTAGTTCCCTCTTGATCCCATGTTCCTTGACTTGTATTTTCATCTTTGATCCAATGTACATGTTTTAGATAATGTATTGTTTTAAAAATCTCTCTAACATGTTACAAAGCCGTTAAAATTAGGAAGCAGTTCATCAATTTTTAGTTAGGTGGAAGAAATTCTGTCCCACGTGAAGAAAGAGATGGTGTATATAAAACAAGTAATGGAATTATATTAGCATAGATATATATTGGAATTATATATATATTGGGGTTGTGATCCGAATTCATCTAGGATTGCATGATTTGGTGTATTGGGCATAGAAGAAGTTTAAATAGGGTCTAATGAGGGAAAAGGGGATTGACGGTGCTAGCTGAACGCTTGAGCGGTGGGACGGAGTTTTCAACAAAGACCTAGTGCCCGCCTAACACTCAAGCGGTGCGGCTAGCGCTCGTTTAGCGCAGTATTTTCCTTGTTTTGTTATTCCACGCGATTTTTGACCTAGTTTCCATTTTTAGGGTTATTATTAGGGTTTGACATATACCCTTATAAATAGTGTACTTTTCTTTACAAATTATTTATTATTGCAAGTTAGAATTGTGTAGGAACATAATATTGTTGTAATTTCTCTCTCAACTATAGTTGAATAAAATCTTCAGTGGCCAAATTAAATTTTTGTTTCTTGTGTTCTTGTTGTTATGATCAATATTTGATATCGTGCCGTATAACTTCATTCAGTTTCTAAGAAGTGGTATCAGAGCTTTGGTTTGATTTGTTGGAGGTTTTTTATTCTTGATGACAACCATGAAGTATATCATTACGCTTTTGAATCGCAATACTAGATTTTTATTGTGACAAGTGAAAATGCTAGCAGTACATTGTTGGGATTTGACAAGATACACACAATTGGGATGACGGAGGAGAAACAACGTAAGGATCGAAAGACACACTCACAAATTCATCTTTATCTTTCGAATAATATTATTTAGGACGTTATAAAAGAGAAAATCCCAGCTGCATTATGGTTAAAGTTTGAGCCATTGTGCATGACTAAGAGTCTAATTTACAAATTACACCTAAAACGGTGTTTGTATTCCCATCACATGACAGAAGGCGGCTCTTGAGAAGATTACTTGGTTGTTTTTAAAGAAATCTCGCTAATTTAAAAATATTGGAGGTAAAGTACAATAAAGAAGATTTGACATTGATTCTATTATGATCATTGCTCGCTTTGTTTATGTCATTTAGAGATATGATTTTATATAGTCATCATGATACTCTCATCATTGAATATGTGTACGATGCATTGTTTTGAATGGAGAAAATGAAACATGTGGTTCGATATGAGGCTAGAGATGAAGAATGCCTTATTGGTCATGGTGATCACGGAAAGGGTATGTCGAAATCTAATTTCAGTAATCAAGTTTGTTTTTATTGCAAGAAGAATGAATACATTATGAGGGATTACAACAAGTTGCAAAATAAATATAAGTTGGTGGCCAATTAGAAGGGAAGATAATCAGTGATGAGAATTTTTTTTGGTTATTTCTCGCGATGAATCTAAACCTGACGAGGATTGGATTTTGAATTTAGTTTATTTTTCACATGTGTCCCAATCAAGATTTGTTTGCAACATATGAAACAATTTCGAAATGAGTCGTGATAATGGAAAACAACGCATCTTGTCGGCTAACTGTATTGATAGAGTCAGACTTAAGCCATTGGATGTGACATTTAGAACACTGGAACACGTTCGACATATTTCAAATTTGAAGAAAAATCTCATCTTGTTTGCTACTATTGATTTAAAAGGGTATGACTTCATTGGTGGATGTGGAGATTTGAAGGTTTGCAAAGGTATCCGGGTTGTATTGGAGGGCCAAAAAAGCTCTAAGTTATATATTTTGTAAGGTCGTGCAGAATCTTTGAAGAACATTTTAGCAAATGTTTAGTATCATGGTAAATATTCAGTTTGGTACAATACCGTTGAAATTTGGTTTGGGGTTTGTATTGAAGAATACAACTAAGTCGAGTTAAGAAGATATAGGTAATGCCGCTTTGCCACCATTACCTATGGTGCCATCGTATTTAATTGTTAGGGACAGACCCATCGGAGAAAGGTACGCGAAAACTCATTTTGTTGCCTATGTTTTAAATGTATGTAAAGGCGTTTACTCTAGCACAACAAAAGCATTTAGTGGTGATTCTGTTTTAAAGTGTGTTTTCGCCTGTTTAGTAAATTTTAAATTATTTATGATTTTTTGGGAACCCATTTTGCGGAGCAGTGCTTGATTAATTTATCCTAGTTGGATATTGTGGAAGAGGTGGATAATTTTTGGTTCATTGGAGAGATTAGTTTGATTTTTGTTAAAAAGTTCAATTCATTACTTGCAGTGAGTTTTTCTTCGGGGGGAGAAATTTTGGAGTTCTGGTTATTATAGTGAAATTTTTGTCAAGTTGGAGACTATTGGATTTGTGATCCAAATTCATCTAGGGTTACGTGGCTTGGTGTATTGGGCGTTGAAGACTTCTAAATATGGTCCAAGGAAGAAAGATGAATTGACGGCGCTAGTTGGACGCTCAAGCGATGGGATAGAGTTTTCAGCAAGACTGTCAAGTGCCATGCAGTCCGGGTGTTTTCCTTTTTTTGTTATTTCACGCTATTTTTGACCTAATTTCAATCTTTAGAGCTATTATTAGGGTTTAACCTATAAATACTAAACTCTTCTTTACAAGTTAATTTATTACTGCAAGTTAGAGTTGTGTAGGAGCACAATATGATTGTAATTTCTATCTTCATTATACTTGAATAAAATCTCAATTTTCTCTCTTGTTGTTAAGATCAATACTTCATATCGTGTCGTATAATCTCGTTCAGTTTCAACATATATGAATTAGATTCCATGGCTCAAGAATTTGATTGATTCTTAACAAAGTTAAGTGTGTAAAAAAGAGATGCCGAGCCAATCAAAAACTAGGGTTTCTAACTGCTGGTTGGATTCGTATCCATTAGAGAAAAAGCAAAAGTACGCGAACCAAAGCAGTCCATTCATTTTAGACTGTACTAACAATATTATAATCAAGATTAGAACATATTGGGAGTGTTAAAGCTTGGAGATTATTGAGAAGGGGGACCACAAATCCACTATTTAGAGTAAACCTTTTTAGGGTTTCCGGTTTTCAAAAGTCATTTCATTCCAAAAAAAACCGGCTTCTAATTTGAAATATTGTGGATTCATCAATCAGATTGTTTTCTTCTTTACCTCTTCGGGGGGAGGGAGGGGTAATGCAGCATGTAATGCTACTACAGAGCTATAATAATATATTTAAAGAAGATTATTTTTGGTCCAATTAATAACAAGTCACTTTATTAGGGTCATTGACAAGACATATATACCAACAATGCGTAATCCACCAAGTTATGCCTCCCATCCATGATACTGCTTTTGCATCCTCATATAGATCTACACGAGAATTTCAAATAATGAGAATTACCAAAAAATATTTACCACATACAATTATTACACACGTGACGATAGCTATAACGCGTGTATGTCAAGTACCGCGGCGCTATAAAGAAGTTACTGGACACGTACAGTGTTTGCATTTACAACATCCGTTTCTGTTTGTAAATGGTTGAGGAGCAAGATAAATTGCTTCCAATAGCTAATGTAGGGCGGATTATGAGATACATCCTCCCCCGGCATGCCAAAATTTCGAAAGAAGCCAAAGAAACAATGCAAGAATGTGTAACAGAATTTATAAGTTTTGTAACCAGTGAAGCATCAGACAAGTGTCACAAGGAGAATCGAAAAACAGTGAACGGAGAGGACATTTGTTGGGCTCTCAATTCATTAGGGTTTGATAACTTCTCTGAGGTTATGTTAAGGTATTTGCACAAGTTCAGAGAGTTTGAAAGACAGAAGTCTGAACAAAACAAAGCCTCAAGCACTGAAGAGAAAGATGAAGTAACGAGTTACGAGCTCGGCCTGCAGCCAGACACTTTTGCCCCATTAAAGTTCCAAATACTTGACAAGGGCGAAAGCTCATCTGCTAATCCGAGGTAAGAGATTAGTAGATATTTTTTAAGATTTCCCCCGCCTTGAATGAACTGTGAAAAGTATCTTCGAGGTAACTTTTCAAACTTCTAGTTGTTTCTGAATCCTCATTTTTCCTGAAATTTTTGGGATCAAAGGAAACCATGTACCTTGTTGCATCCATAGTTATATCGATTATATATGTAATTTCCTGTAGTTTTGAAGATAGGGGATTGCAGTACTTATTTTTGATTTATGAAAGTATGATTGATGGATATAGCATAGACAAGATTGGAGTACAGGATCACTTGTGTAAGCCTATTAACTATTCATCTGCAATTCTCTGCATCACAGTTTCATCCAGAAATTCTGATCCGTTTTTCTCTGAGAAATATCGTACATGGTTATAAAATAATGAAACCCTATCACACAGAACTTGCTCTTTACAGTTCTGAAATGCAGTTTCTCCATTGATTATTTACATTGAGAAATTGTATATCGGATCTCTCTCTAAATCTGTACTAGCTTCTTTGCCCTTCACCCAAAACTCAAAAGAGTATCCATCAGAAGGAAATAAGGCAAATATATAGAGATCTTCATCATCCAATTGTTTACCTAATGTTTTCGACCCCTCTTTCTCAGCTTCATCATCCAATCATTCACCGTTCAATTAAGCCAAACTGGATTGAAATATCACTCTTCAGGTTGCAATTTTAATCTCTGACTTTAAGCCTCATATCTGGGGTCTTGCCATTGTTATGAAATTTTAGGAGAAAATGTGGTTTTTGAATAGTATTTTTTTTTGAGGATGTGTGGTTAAAAAATAAGTAAAAGTGTGAAGTTTACTTGTAACATTATTTTATGGGAGGATGTGTGATTGAAAATGAATTTTGGATAAAATCTAGCCCAAAGGGCTAATTCTCAATCACTATGATGTTATTTTCTGAACTCCAATATATTCCCTAAGTAATTCTGGGTTGATTTTGTAATTCTTAAAAACTAAGAAGAGTAAACTATGATTAATTCGTTGAGGAAAAAAAAGGAAAGAATTTGCATCTTCAGCCATAGCATCTGAATAAATGTTAAAAGATTTTTATGTGATTATTCTTGCTCTTATATAGCTATTTGTAACCATATAAAAATACAGTAGAGTATTATTTTCTTTGTAATTAACTGCATATACAAAAATTACAAATTCTCTTATTCTATGATTTTCTTTGTGTGAAGTTCCTGTCCTCAAAAATAGTCGATTAGCTGTAAACATAGTTTGCAGTTGAGGGAAGATAGGCTTTTAGCAGCCTTTTTTCCTGCCTAATAAAAAACTCAAAACATCACCATTCTTCCTCTGTAATTGGTGCCTTAATATTGAATTATTGAATCTTGTGCATATTTGTTTTCCTTATTAACAGTCAGATCTTGCAAACAATTTTATTTTTTCCCTTTGCTGGAGTCCCCCTGCAATAGTATTCGTTTTTGGCTTGTTTGTTTTTTCTATTTGATGGTTATCTTCTGGTAGTGTGCCATGGTGGCAGGCAATGTGGTTCTTTTTTGTGACTTTGCATTCCAAGACTCCTCTATATTTGCTCATAATGGCACGGGGCTCTGATATGCTTGCCTGGTTTTGCCCCTATTAGCGTCGGAAAAGTGTGAACTAAGTCCTACATTGGTTAGACATGAGATAGATAATGGCTGGGCTTATAGGAAGTTTGGATCTACCTAATAGGTTAACCTTTTGAAATGGAACCCTAATTCGTTGATAATATATCATCATCATCACCTACTTCTTATCTCACTACTGAGTTGTTGTGAGATCAGCAACTTTTCCTTTCTGTCCTTGCTTAAGGTTATTCTTTCATCTTTAGCAAAGTTGGTTCCCAATCCCTCTTCTAGCCATTTCTGTCTGTCTTCTCCCTAAGTGTTCGAGTATTTTCTTTTCTTCCTCTCCAATCTAAGTTGCTTTTCTCCCTTGGTTAGCTCCTCGTTTCTATCCCCATTTGATTCTTTCTTTCTTTAAGGTAGTATTTTGTTTGTTGCATTCTAGTTACTGTTCTTAGTGGCTCCTTTAATTTATGTTTTAATGCTTGTGTTTCTGTATTTATTTTCATCATTATTGCATTCACAAAGTTTCGTATAATAGAATTCGGTTACACATCTTATCCAATTATCAAAGAAGCTTCGATTATTTCTATAACAAGTTGATCGTGTCTTTTACTTCCTTGTTTCTTTTCACTATTAATTTGTGTCTCAATCACATTCGATTTAACACTCCATGCAGTTTGGTAATTTCGATCTCTATCTCTATCTCACACACATACACATAGAGCAGAAATCAATCTTCTAATTAATCAGATAATTAGTCAATTTAGATTATCAATTTCCAGAAAACAAGGGTTAGGATTTTCCACAAACTTGAACCTAGCGACACGTGACTTTGGTACGTACAAGGCATGCTAATACGTACTTGACTAGCTAGTCTGAAATCAATCTTCTTTTGCCAAAGTTAAGGATATCAGCCTGCTAGGGTTTATCTAAAATCTTTGGGGACCACTTTTCCATTATCTTCCTCGAATTGAGTTGCAGCTTATAATTTACAGTGGAAATCATAAGGGGAAATGCTGATGTACTTCTTTTCATTTCTTTAGATAAAAGGTTGGAAACATTAGCTTCAAACTAGGTTAAATTATATTGAGCTCGACCTATTACACGAGGTCAAATCCAAGCACATTTCACTAGGATAATGTTAGTCTATTCATTTCTTGAATCTTCGTGCTGTCATACTTCTTGATAAGTTCTATTGAATGACGTCATGGATGACATGTTCAATTTAAAGCTCAATGTAAATATAATATTAAAAAGAACAAAACTTTTAAACACACATAATGGGTCATCATTCAAATTTGTTGAGTATAGAGAACAACAAACTAAAAGGAGTAAAAGAGAAGGTGCATTCGAACTTTTAACTTGTGTAATAGGAGAGAATGTTTTTAGAATGTAATGCTGTTATACTTTTTGATAAGTTCTATTGAATGACGTCATGGATGACATGTTCAATTTAAAACTCAACGTAAATATAATATAAAAAAGAAAAAAACTTTTAGACACGCATAATGGGTCATCATTCAAATTTGTTGAGAATAGAGGACAACTAACTAAAAGGAGTAAAAGAGAAGGTAAATTCGAACTTTTAACTTGTGTAATAGGAGATAATGTTTTAGAAGGTAATGCTGTTATACTTTTTGATAAGTTCTGTTGAATGACGTCATGAATGACATGTTCAATTTTAACCTTAACGTAAATATAATATAAAAAAGAAAGAAAAACTTTTAAACACGCATAATGGGTCATCATTCAAATTTGTTGAGTATAGAGAACAACTAACTAAAAGGAGTAAAAGAGAAGGTAAATTCGAACTTTTAACTTGTGTAATAGGAGATAATGTTTGTAGAAAGTAAAACAAACTACAATTAATTAAAATAGTTGTGAATGGCAAAACATACTAAAATTGTGGATTAGGAGGATCATGTTTTATCAAATTAGGTTAGCGAGCATGTGTGACATTACAAGGTCTAATAAAAGTAAAAGCATTTAAAAGTAATTTTTAGTACATGGGAAGGATATTATACTTCTTCCAATAATGTGAAAACACTGTAAGTGCAAAGTGCAAACATTCATCTAAGTTAAACAGTTACTCCTTTTTTTTCTTTTTTTTGGGCCAAAAATATAAAGGAACTTTTAGTTCAAACAATTACTTTTCTAGAATAAGTTTTTACTTTTTCGAAAAGTATATTTTACAAGTTCGCCTAAACTTTAAAAGTTTATTCATAAGCGAATAATAGATATTTTTAAATGATGAAATTTTTAAGATTAGTAATTTATTTAATTTTGAGGTAAGAGTTACTTTAATTAAATTAAGTTAAAAGGAGTTACTTTCAAATAAGTAACTTTCTTTACGAAAAAATAAGGCATAAAAAGTAAGTTTTCTAAATAGGTTTGAGAATAAAAAAGTAATTTTTTTTTTTTTTTTTTAATTTATGCTTAGCTAAACATACCGTTGTACTTAAGTTTTCATTTTTAATCTTTTATGTAATATAAGTTGAGACTTAATTTCAGGAAAAGTAAGTTTATATTAGTAAGAAGATTTAAAATCGTGTTTGACAAACTAAAAGCAAATTCAAGTTCAACCACAAGCCAACATTCTCTACGATTGAAACGTATTTTGAAATGTTTGATTGTAGTACAGATTTCTACGAGAAGATCCTCATCCACAAGACTTGTTAAATTTATATATATCGTTTTTTTTTTAAATACTTGATATTTTATTATAGTTCAAAATTAAATTAAATGTTTCGACATAACTATCTATTAAAATAAGCACATATCATGCCTTTAACAAAAAAATGATTATAACATTGGCGTGCTCGATCTCTTTCCTTTAACGAGCAAAAAAAAAAAAAAAAACAACACCCTAATTTTGTTGATTCCGCAAAATACGGAAAACACTTTTAAAATTTTGTATAATTAATCCAAATCAAAAAATAACAAAGTCCTAAGTATGATTTAAATAGCGAACATCGAACATCCCGAGTTCCAAAAATAATAAATTAGGAACCGAAATAGAGAATCGATAATCGAGTTCTGACCGGTTCTTGGTTAATGAATTAGATCCGTGGGTAATCTAAGTAATCAATTTTTTATACCAATTTTTTATTTTTTTACAATTTGTAGGTTGAGTAAAAAAAATATAAAATATAAAAACTATAATTTGGGTAATAATTTGTCTAGACTCTAGCCCTTAAGAAATCATGACTGACTCTTATTTTTCCACATCTCACCTTACATCAGATTGTTGCATTTCAAATTTTAGTATATACCAATCTTTACAATTTGGGCCTTTTCTATGAATTAAAAAGTCAAAGCTACGGTTGTAGTATAAGTTAATAAATCAAATTATTCATTTTTTGCAATTCAAGCTATATATATAATTTAGGATGTGGTGTATCTTTTTGGTGATCTCGAGTTCATGATTCTCTTTTGAAATATACTAGTCAAAAGCACGTGCAAGGCATGTGCCATGATGTAGTTGAGTACGTAATAGCGTAGATATTAAAAAAAAAATATTTATGTCAAACATTAGTTACATAAAATTTTCTTATAAGTTGTTAAATGTTTCGAGGCAACATTAAACGTGGAGATAAAAAAAATCACACCCACAGTTATCGAAGAAATTGAGGTTCACCTTCTACCACAGCCTCCAGTTATAAAAAAATGTCTTTTGACCAATCCCCGATAGAACAGTTATTGTCATTTATTTCATAAACCCCTAATCAATTTTTAAACAAAAGAACAGGGAAAAAAACTCAAAATAAATAACTAATAAACCTAAAGAAATTGAAAAAAA